CTCCCCATCCTGTCGCCGTTTTTGCCCTCCGTGAGCGTGCAGGCACCCACTAGAAATTCACCTTTTTGTCAGTGGTCTGCAGGATTTGGGGTCCCTCGGTGGGAAATAAAAAGATTTCATTTTAAAGCAAAGAGATAAAAAGATTTCATTTTAAAGCAAACAGATACTATATAAATACTATAAAATATATAAATATATAAAATACTATAGGTGGATATTTCCCCTTGGTAATTTTGTTTAGAAGTTGAGGGTTTCCTCTGGTGAAGAAATATTATGTGGACAGCTGGCAGCATGTAAAGATCTCTTGAACAGCAAGAAAAAAGCAAAAGGGAGGAGTTTTTTTTATAAAAACTTGGAATAAAGATTTTATATTTTTTTTTTAAAGTCGAAGAGGCAATAGTTGAGACAATGAATGTTGTTGTTAGAGATTCAGCATCCTCTATTAGAGGGGTTTCCAATTAGCATCTGAAATTATTAGATTGAGGAAGAAGAATGTTGTATTGGACAGTTCTGGGGTTTGACAGTTCTGATGTTGTCTTGTTTTTCCTCCTATAGCAAAAGTTTTCTTGAACAGGGCTGGGATCCTGAGCCTTTGGGTGCTTTTTACACTATCATTGAGAAATAGAAAAGAAAATGAAAAAGGCATTTACCATTTTCTTTGCAGAAAGAGATGTGGAAGCTTTTTTTTATTGGCTGTTTTTTGGGGTTTTTTTTCATTCTTTTATACTCTTATTGTCAGGCCCATATAAAAAAATATATATTTTAGAGCTTTATCCTTTAGTGTAGCCCTTTACCTAGTGATAAATCATTGAGTTATAAGATGTTTAGTGTTTTGGTGAGGACAGCAGTGTTGTGCTGTGTCTGATTTTAGTAAGGTGTGAGACACAGCGTAGAAACCACTATTTTTACCCAATTTCCCAAGATGGGTTTGCAGCACAGATTTTGTGCAGTGTCATGTATCTATGTGTGCTTTTAAATCAAGAAAGATCTTTAAATGATACATTTTTTTTCCCCCCCCCTCTGTGAATTGTACCAGCAGGATATAAATAACAGCAGAAGGTGCTGAGAGGAGGGCCCTGTGTCGCTTCAGCTTGGGTTGGTTTGGGTTGTGTTTGGCCTCGAAGCAGAACAACGTGTGTGTGTGTGTGTGTGGAAGTACCCTGGCCACGGAGTTCATTGTGTGGGAGAGCCAAGTACCAAGAAATAATTGTTATATCAGTAAGCACGGAATATTTAGGTTGAATTGGGATAATTAAACTGGAATTGGGACAATTAAACTGGAAGAAAATTCCATTCAGTGGATCTTTTGAGCTTTGACTGTGCAGTGAGATGATCAAATAGTCCTATGTAGTCAAACCAATATTTTTATAATGATATTTTTTCTGTGTGACGAAGAAGAGATGCTTTGTGTCAGAGTGATTTCTGATGCACTGTGATATGTCGTACTTAAAACCAGAATTGAAATTAAATCTCTCGCCAGGTACCAGAAATACTACATAAAAATTGAGAATATCTTTAGAAAAATCAGATGTAGTTTTACCTTTAGGCTTGTATTTGAAATTTAGTGGTGGTGTTCTGCTGTGATAGGACTGCTCATGTCTCTGGCTGCAAGCCATCTTTGAGGAAGGGTGACTAGAGGAAGTTCTCGCATCACATAGTGTAGGAGAGGGGCAGGCAAGGGCACCTCAAAGGTCTGAAGCATGAGAGATGGATGTTCTCACTGGCACAGGACAAATGGTACATTACTCAGTGGCCTGGAAAATTGCTCTACTTGTATTTAGGGTTTTTGTTTTTGAGAGTTGCATCAAGCACAGAGACCTGATAAGAATATTAGTATTCATTTTAAAGCTTGTCACGTGACCTGTTTATGAGCTTCCTCATTCTTTTTGTTTGAAAGAATACTTCTACGTACGAGTTCTTACTGTTTGATGACTCAGTAGGAAGTGAAAGAGTCGGTGTAAACCACAGTGAAATGGAGAAGAAACTATATATGGTAAAACTTGTTACATACGTGGTCTTGCACACAGGCAAGCTCAGTAGCTATTCTTAAAATATTTTGAATGCGTAGCAAAATGTGTGCAAAAATGAACAGTGATGAACTCTTGGCTTCCTTCCAAAGATGCACAAATTCCTGGGGTGTTGGTGTTTGGGAGGTGGTGTGTACCAAGCATGGTACTGACAGGATTTGGTTATTGTTTCACAGGGTGTGCACAGTAAGAGGTGGAAGAGAAACGAGTGCGCTAGGCTTACATTTGATTAGAAGGTTTCAAATTGAGAGTGGCAGGAACAGTGAGTATTTAATGCCTGGCGCTGGAGAAGAGAAGCGGATTATGTTCCAAACTGTACTGCAGTTTATAACATTTCATTGAAGATTTTGGAGGATCTTCTATCAGGGACAGGAGGGAGAAGTATCTTAGGTTTCTTGTATCCCTTCAAAACTGTTCAAGATCGATTATGTGAATACATTTGTGTTTCTTAGGTGGATTTACCTGTTGGTAGGTTTACCAAGCCTGCTTCTTCAGCTGTGATATCCAGTGCTAGGTCATCACCACCCTACCCAAACAGTCAATATCGTGTCAGGAAGAATCACAGAATGGTTTGGGTTGGAAGGGACCTTCAAAATTCATCTCATTCCAACCCCCCTGCTGATGACACCTTCCACTAGACCAGGTTGCTCAAAGCCTCATCCAGCCTGGCCTTCAACACTTCCAGGGAGGAGCAGCCACAGCTTCTCTGGCCAACCTGGGCCAGTGTCTCACCACCCTCACTGCAAAGAATTTCTTCCTCAGATCTAATCTAAACCTGCCCTGTTTCAGTTTAGATGAATAGTGCAGTGGGGATGCTCTCATTGATGGGGAAGCTGATGTACAAAGCTGACTTGTTCTCATCGTCACCAAATTTTCATGTAGCCTGGGGGAGGGGGTAAATTTCAAATTTGAAGGAGAATCATAGAATGTTGTGAGTTGGAAGGGACCCACAAGGATCGTGGAGTCCAGCTCTTGTTCTAGCATAGGACAATCAAGTTAAAATTTTGCCCCATCTGTCTACCTTTGAGTTCACCAAACTTTGTAAAAATACCATTTTTAAGATGCTCTGTTCCATCCTGAAAGAGGTAGAGAACAGACCACGAATGTCCAAGCTTAATCTTACTCATTGTAGTTCACATGAATTAAATCTGATTTCGATTGTGTTTTAGGCTGGTTGGAGACATGACAGCCTGCTTTGATAATCTAGGGTTTGTTAATTGCCAACATCGTTAACTTGCTGGGAAGGTGTGTCAAGGCCTTAACGTGGGAAGGGGCTGGGAGTTACTACTCCAGGGCAAATAGTAAGAACTTAGAATAGTATTTTTGTAGGTCAGCATTTTCTAGGTCAGCGTAGTTTTATGTGACTTTGAGAGTTATTTTTAAGGTTGACCAAGAGGCACTTACTGATTTTATGTAGTAGGCGTTTTGGTTGCGTATCTTGGTGGTTGCTGCATAAACCTCGGGGTTCATTTGCCCAGTCAGCAGGATTTAAAAGTGTAGGGAGCAGAGCTTCTTGAGGGATGCTCCAGGAGCTCAGGTTGTAAAGGTTCCTTTAGATGTTACTGGTCCTGTTGCTCTGTTGACCAACACGGTTGGTGATGACTGGGAAGAAGTTGCTTCATGCTGGGGGAAAGGAAAGGAGGAAAAGCTGTGAGGAAATACATGAATGTGAAGGTGCATGAGCTACCTGAGCTAACTATGGTTGTACTTGGAACAATTAATGAAACCCTAAGCTGGAGGATGGGATTGTGTGGGTTGTTTTATAGAACTTCCTTCTTGCTTGACCAGATCTTACACAGTGGAATTTCTAACAAGCATACTTAAATGTTGTAGTAACAACAAATATTGTGTGATTGCCCTGAATGCAAAGTCTGAAAGGGAGCTTTTTTTATTTTTTTTTATTTTTTTCTTTAAACTTGGACTCAGCTCAGTCCTTCAAAATGTCTCATATGTTTTATCTGATAGAAAACTTTTGATAAAGTCGTCAGGTATATTCAGGTAGTGTGATCCAAAAATGCTTGTGGCTACTCTTTGCTTTCTCAAGGCAGCACTGCATTCTTGAATACACAGATAAGATCTGTATAACTCCTAGGTCCTTCTGGCCTTAATATAAGCAAAAGAGTGGAGAAGTACTGGCCTTTTCAGAGAACATGGATTGAAGGAGAATGAGCAAAGTGAGTTTGAGACACAGCGTCATTCTTCAGGTATTCCAAACAGTTCTGCCTTTGGAGACAGCAAGCATGGAATGGGTGAAATAAATCAATGTCACCAAAAGCAGCAACGTCGCCTTCCCCCTGTATTAGCCCAGCTTTAATTAAAACATCTCTGGGCTTTTTCTGTACCTGGCTTTATTAATTTCTTTCTGAAAGAGGTGCCCTTTTTCCTGCAGTAAGGTGAGTAATTTAGAGCAGCAGAAAGTGACTGTTCATTTTACTGTTGCTGTAATGGCAGAATTCCCCTCAGCTGCAATTTTGCTGTGATAATTGTTCCAGTTTTCAGACTTCACTTCAAAAAAAATTCAATGAACGTTTGGGAAATTCTAGCAGATGGCTTTTAATGCAACCTGAAATGGATAATTAAGCTTTGAGACCAGGTCTCACAGAGGCTGTGAATTGTCTGTCCTTGGAGGCTTCCAGCACCCAACTGGTCAAAGCCTGGTCTGAATTCAGCGTTGACTGCTTTGAGCTCAGTGTTGGAGGAGACACCTCCTGAGGTTCCCTCCAGCCTGAATGATCCCATGGTGCTGTGTTACCACTGTTACACCTAGATGATTGAGTAATTTTGCAGGTGAAAATGCGTACTGTTTAGTTTGGGACTGCAGGATTTTGTTCTGGCATGCTGATATAGCACAGTATGCATCAAAAAAAGAGAAGCCTGCTCTGGATGAACTGCAGGCAGAACATCGGAGTGTGAGACACGAACGAGTAGGTTAGACAAAAAATGTAAGTTGCTGATCCCCATTAGCTAAAATTATAACTTCTTCTGGCACATTTAAAGTTCTTGTTTTACAATTGAGCTTCCTCTAGTGATATATATATATATATTTATTTTTAATTGCTCAGTTAATCCTCACTGTTTTCTTAGTGTATATACTATCTCAGGACCCAGCAGTATAAAGCTTCCTTTCGTACATACTTGAGTAACAAACATGTCAGAGTATCCTGTCTGGTGTGAACTACCATCAGCTGAGGTTTTGGTTGTGCTGTTGGTTTCAGAAGTGCTTACTGCAAACTCAGATCTTTATCCTTAAAAGAAACCTTGGAAAATTAGGAAACTCTGAGAAATCCATCTGAATCGTACAGACTATTTGCTAGTTCACTGTTAAATACTTCTCATAACAGTGTAACACCTGAATTCACAAGGGTTAGGGTTTTTTTTCTGGTAGGTAATTTGTTATGCTGCTGTGTGCTCTAATTGGAGAGGCAATTTAATTTGGTCTCATTGGGTACTCATTATAAGGTGATCAATTACAAAACGATGGATTTCAGTTGCTAGAGAACTTTTTTATGGAGTAGCAGGAAATCTAAATTCAAATACTGGGCTCTTTTACACCTTTCAATGTACTCAGTTGTTTTAATACTGTTTCTCAAAAATCTGGCAGTCTGATTCAGAAAACATTGAGGAAAATACCTTAATTCCATTTAAAGATCTGTGCATCATGTGAAATGTGAAAAATTGATTTGAAAATATCAGTCCAATTGTTTTCCAGTGGGATACATGCTCCTAAATTTGGGCTTCTAGTTTTTTACCCCAAACCAGGTTTCTATTGTTAAGCAAAAGTAATATATATTCTAATAAAATTATTTCTTCTTTTTCAGTTTGTGAAATGTGGCTATGCCGGCTCAAATTTTCCAGAGCACATTTTTCCAGCTTTGGTTGGAAGACCCATTATAAGATCAACTGCTAAAGTGGGAAACATTGAAATCAAGGTAAATTTTTTTTCATTATTATTCCTTTCTGGCAGATAAAAATATTTAGGGCAGCTTTTGACTTATGTAATGATTGGAAATGCTTTTTCCTTAATTCCCCTTTATGCTGTTTCAGTATCTCTTGATTCATTTCTGCATTGGGTTTTAGCCTGTCACAAACTACAGAGTTACTAAGAGAGTAATCTAAAGCACTGGAGACCTTCAGATAATAAAACTGAGGAGGCAGCAGGTAGGGCTCAGGTGGTTCTGGGTGAAAAGGAGCTTCAGATGCTAATGTGTAAATGGTATCAAGATTAGATGGCAGAAATCAGACAGAAGTGGTTGATGTTTGTCACTGAGCTGTACTGTGAGATTCCAAGACAATGCTGAAGAACTGCTGGAGCTTCCAGATCTTTCTATACTGTTTGCTTTCTGCTCACAGCTGATCATCTGTGATCTTGTACGAGATGTTTAACCTTGGTTGTGTTTGCATTTCATTGTTTCTATTGCTTTTGTTTTCTTTTCTTTTTGCTGTTGATAGATGTAGGTACTCCACAGCAGGAGAGATGGAGAGGCTGTGTTCAGACTGCTTCATTTTGGGATGTTATTCCAAGTTCAGAATGGGAGGGGAACAACTCTTTGAGAATCTTTTTATGACTTCTGGGGAGCTATCATTTCTCACTTTAATTAGAGTAATGCTTCAAGTGTTAATAGTTGCTCCTTTAATATAGGCTTCAGTAAATGTCTTGGCCCAGCTACGGTCACATCCTCCCTTCTTGCTTGTAGCCATGCATTCTCACCTTGTGCTGGTGTTCCTGCTTGTGCAGTCATGTGGTGAGCTGCTTTAGCGAGCTGATCGAGCTGAAAAAGAGTGATTTCTACATCAGGTAAAGTTTTGACTGCCTCACTAGACAATTGTGCAAGCTCCAGTCTGAGAGTGAGGCAGAAGCAGGAACCTGAGGGAGAAGCAGGAGGCAATGCAGAACTGTGGAAGCCCTCACTTTGGCCAGTGAAGGTCAGGTAGAAGCACACGTGTACAGGCTTTCAATTTTGCTTTCCCTGTTGGTTCTGAACAGCAGCTCAGTAAAAAGGAAAAAAAAAATTAAAAAATCTACCCACTGTGGCTCCTGATTTTCAGAACCTGATTGGTAACAGGAACTTCAGTTACCTGATTTCTACTACTGCCTGTAAAAAGTTCGTAGTACCAGCAGAAGGCCATACTAGGAAGTCAAGAGGATGAAAGACATCAGACCTATCAGACCTTTCCAAAATGCCTTTTTTTTTTTAAATATGGCAGCACCACTGACCTTGTGTCAGCTGGGACAATTTGGTTGAAGGGATGGAGACCTTTCACAGTAGATGGGAGTTTTGTAAGGAGAGGGAAAACATCTTTCTCTTCCAAGATTTGGAGAGGTGTTTCTTCAGATATCTACTTGAACCTAACGTGAAAATTTCTTCAAGGAGGTCTTGGTAAAATTTCATGGAAGTTATGCACTGATTTACAAGTCTTGAGTCCAAGAAAAATTCTCTTGCATGAAATCTCATTGTCAAAGTCATGTTTTCTTTCCAGCTGGTCTGATATAGCCTGTCCTGCCAGTTTTGGTATCCTCTGATTATCTGATAACGTACTTTAATAATCATTACAGGTGACAGTGTTGAATTGGAAAGATAGGAGGTGGAAGTGGGTAGTTGCTATGAGATCAGGGCAAAAGAACCAGTAAACAATAATTTTGCATGGATTGCCCAGCTTCTGCTTGAGCATGGATCATGTTGAGTGTATTTTAGAGAGTATAAACTGTGTCTAGATTCTTCCTAGAAGTTTTATAGCATCTGCCTATGATAGCTTGTCACTCTTTCTTAAGGAAACTGTGTGTCAAGAGAAGAAATCCCTGCCACAGATACTTTGAGTATCCCAGTAGGATAATACAGTAGGAGGACTTGTTAAGTGTGAGTGCTGTTTTTCTTTGTGAGATTCTTGCAGACGTCCTCAAAAAGTGTATTTTAGCAGATAAGTTTTATGCCAAAATTAAATTCTAGCCATTCACTGCAAGGTCTTACAGGATAAGCTTAAAACCGAGTAAAGGAAGCTGGCAAGAAGATTATCAGTTTAACTTTTCAAAACTATTCAGAAAAGCTGTCATCCCTGTGAAATTTAGAAACTCCCTGAAAAGAGTCTGGAAGCTGATCAGAACAGTGGTTGTCATCGATCTATTGAGTTACCAATTTCAAGTTGCTTTGTCCATGTTTTCCTCCTGGGTTCTCATTTCAGCCAGCAGCAGGGTTATAGCTTTTTCTCCTACTCCGAGTCCCCAGTTTGGGACATAAACACAAAAGTTCAGTTGTTCCTGATGTTATTTTGCTTAAAGTGGCAACCTTAAAACTCTGAAACCAGAAGCACAGGTGCTGCTCTTAGCTTTTACTGACTTACTAATCTTTGAAGCGGGTTTGGGTGTTAATAACCTTCTTAGGAAGGCAGGACTGATGAGTAGCTTTAACCAATTAAAACAATTAGGATTTTAGGGCAGATCAAACCTGCTGAGCCATAGTCCATGTCCTACAGTTCTGCTCAGTACTGCTGAAGACAGCCTGGAGAAGGTTGTTCTCTGGATTTGAAGTGAGGAAGAGGACCGTGCTCTGAGCAGCCTCTCTGGTACTGCCAGAAACCCTACGCACTTTCCTTCTGACACAATTTGCAGAATGAGGATTTGCCCTTAATGGTGCTGACAGTTATCCCGTGGCTTTTGACAGTTCGGGTGACTCACATTTAATCAAAGGAGGAGAAAATCTCAAGGGTCGTGAAAATGGCTCTAGGATAATTTTGGACAATGTTTGTACACATGTGCTTCAAATATCTCATAGTGCTTCCTGGCTGCTTTAATT